TAGCATGGCAAAATGAAGAGCGATCACTATACTCAAAGTTGGGAGATGTGTGTTCTTAGGCAGCTCTTGGTGATCTGCCTCATGCTGGAAAAGCCTCTTCACCCACTTCAACACATATCATGAGTTAATCTGAAAGATATCAACACTGTCTTTGATCCTGTGCACCAGACAAAAGGAAATCTTAGCTGGAAAGAACATCTGCCAAAATATCAGGTAATTTTGGTGCTCTTGTTTTCCTCTGCCAGAGGCATTCACTGATTAATCAGAACAAGCATGTTGTGCCAACTAAGAATCTAGTTGGCACAGAATCTGCCTTGCTTAGGGTTTAGGGGATCCAACAAGCATATGCAGAGCTGAATTAAAAGGATGGGGATAACAATGCTGAACTCTGAACACCAGAGTTTTGACTTCCCCAAAGAGAGGGAAAATGAATGCTGCCACTATTCAGAGAGCCAATCAGCACAGCATAGGACAAAGACTGAAGTCCAACAGGCTTGTGTTTGCATCTAGGGGCTGCAACTTACCAGCTACGCAATCTTGAGCCATCATCTGACCCCTCCGAATGCTGGAAAATGGGGAAAATGATGTCTACCTCACAGTACTGTTAAAATTACAAAATGAGAACTGATTCATCTATTCATTCATTCAACAAATATTTAATAAGCTCCTAGGATGTGCCAGACACCAGCTTGAACAGTGGGGCTAAAGCACTAACAGAACAAATGAGATAATACATGAAAGGTGCTTAGGACAGTGCCAGGGACTTAGAACACACTCTTTGAAAACTCATTTCCAAGGAAAAACAATCTGCTTCCTTTGTCCCACGGAAACCACACACACACACACCACCACCATCACCACCACGTGGCTCAGTGGAGATTTGGGGTTTGCAATCAGGACACTGGCTCTGATACCCTGTAACAAAAGCAGTCCCAACGTCTTGCTCAATGACCTGAAGGTAGACAAAGTGCAGACAGGTGACAGGGAATGAAAGGTATGAAGAGTCACAAGGAGAATACTGACAGTGTTTGATATATAGGAGTCTGAGGAAAAGGACACAGAATTCATACCATAAAATGTCCAACCAACTCAAATATAAGTTTAAATGAAGAAAACCAGTCCTTCAAGAGAAACGTGTGACAAAATGTTTGTCAGTCTCTAGATCCTACTGAGTAAAGTGAAGAAAGATTAAGATAAGATCATGAGTGGGGTGTGATGTGAGTGGCTGTGTTTAGATAATCACTGATAGACATTCTGTCACAGGCACACTGCAAAGACTGACACTGGTGACGGAGCTTGTACCAAGCACTTCGGGGGGCTGTTAATGGCACACCCACACATTCTTGCCCTCACTGATTCCTCTCCCAGTCCTGTTATTCTACTGCCCCCTCTTCTTCCTCTTTTGCACTTGCCTTAACTTTGGTCACTGCTGTGTATGGGAGAGACAAGTGCCTCCTAATCAGCCTGCCTATCCTCCTCTACCGAAGTGGGTGCCATGCTTTTCCTGCCTTCCCTGGCAGCCAGCAGGCTGGGGACCGCTGTCTTCCTCAGACCTCAGAGGCTGCCCCTCCCTCCTGTGCCCTTGGCCGTGGGGGATGGCTGCCTTGGACTGGAATTGGAAAATGCCACTAATAGGGACATCCAAGTGCCTGATGTTGGAATTATCTGGGTAAAGAAGGGGAAAGGGCCACATTTGGAATAATGTGGCTTTTAAAAGTGAAGATAGCCTCTCTCTCTGCCTCCCCCCCAGAACTGAGACAATGTGGGGACACATCCCAAAGGGACTTTTACCTACATTTGACTACTAGTCCCTTCCGTATCTGCTGAAGTTGAGAGCTGCAAATGTTTTCTTTGGGTTCCCTTGAACTTGAACATGGTAGGGATATTCAAATCCACCTATTTTGTCACTCCAATTCCTCTCCAGACACCCTCAGGCATACTTACATAAACAAATATGCCTCTTTCTTTTGTAGGAAGACCAAGCATCTGTCAGGAATTTTGGGTCCGAGGACTCTCCCTCACTCCCACCCCACCTCATTCATAGAGTTTTAAAACAGTAAGCTGACTTGGCTGGAATTTCCACACCTTTTTAGGGAATTTCCACACCTTTATTTTTCAGCTTTAATTGGCCTAATTGTTTAGCCTAGTAAAAAATATAGCATCAACAGAATTCGCTTATCTATGTACTGCCTCAAGTGGAACATACTGCTAATAATAGTAATAGCAATAAAAATTCATCTGGCATTAACATATCACTTCTTAAGACCTTAGGTGCCAAATCCTGCAAAGCTGTGACATCGCTAGCACAAAATTCTTCCATCCATTTGACAAGTCCAGTTTCTAAATTGCAGCCCAATACAGTTCCCAATGTGAAACTGTCTTCTGGCCAAATCACCTGGTTTACTTCTATGATTAACAGTTCCTTGTTGTTATCACCCAAATAGGACATGCACACATGCCTAATTGTAGCTTCTAAAGTGTATCGTCATCATTATTTGCTTATCAGTGATAACGTAATCTCCCTGCCATATGCTTTCCAATACAATGTATACACACATACTGACTGCCAACAGAATAGAATGCATGGCCTTTGCCACACAATGCCAGGTTGAGTATCAGGAGTTTATGAGCTGCCTCACTTTTAGAGCCCTCTTAAACCCAGTAAGCCAGAATAGCCTGGAGTGAGTCAGGTGCTGCAACCCCAGGATCTGGCCATTTGGACTTCCCTGGGCGGGCTGAGAGAGGCTGCCCACTGTGGCTGGGCTCTGGCCTGAGGCATGACCAAGGCAGAGGCCTGGGTGCCCCAGCCTCTGGCCCCTTAACACTGAGCACGGACAGCTGGAGCCAGAACTCCCTGGCCATTTCCCCTGGAGCCTCCTCACCCTCACTCCACCCCCTCCCAAATTCGAGTTTTTCCTAGGCCATTCCTGTTACCCCATGGAGTCTGGATGGCTCCCCTCTCCTCCAGCCCTGCCCTCTGCATAGCCTTGTGGGGGGGGGGCGGGGGTATGATGCTGCAGGTGCCCCAGAATGCACAGCAGGGGCAGCGTGCCAGAACGCCGGCCGGTGTGTGGTCGAGCGTGGGGACGTGTGTTTGTGTTGCTGCCTGCGAGTACTAGGGGATGGACAAACCACACGGCTGGCTGCCACATACCCACTGCCACCCAGCGCTAGGAAAAAGCAAGAAACGCAAAAACAAACCAGAGAGAGAGAGAAAAGGGAAACAGAAAGTCAATGTGGGGTATTCGAAGCCGGAGGACCGGGAGGCACGGCGCTCCTCATGGGCTTGCAGCGCCTGGTCAGGCAGACTCCGAACCCTCCTGTGACTGAGCCCACAGACGTGCCATGACCGTGAACTGACATAAGGCCATGGGAGGGTGGCTTGGGTGAGCTATCAGCAGGCAGCTCTGCTTGCCTTAGGCGTTTACCTCTATTTCTCTGCTCTCCTGCTTCTCTGCACCGACTGACTCCCACAGATACTTCCATACAGGCAACAGCCTTGGTCTCCTGGCCTGGGGCTGGTGGCTCTATGGACCCTTACACGGACGATTTTGTGGCTCAAAGCAGCCTCGAGGACAGCGATGGGCAGGAGGGCAGAGAAAGGGATGAGGACGCTGGAGGGGGACTGAGGCAGTGGGTGTGTGCTGCTTTCTGGGTCAGCAATTCAGGGGGAACTTCCCTTTTTGAAAGCTCTCCCAGGGGAACCTCCTCCACCCCCGCGGGGGGCCCAGGGGCACGGGGCAGAGCGCACAGGTGGGATTTCTGCGCGATCCACCCTGTGCGGGCTTGGACCGCACCTCACCGGTTCCGCGAGCTACAAGTTAGCGGCGATGACCCAGGTCCACAGGTGCGGACGACGAGGGGCATTGTGGGTGCAGCAGCCCCTAACTCCGACCCCGTGCCCCGCCTCGGTGGCCCAGGGCCCACGGTGAGGTGGGGGTCGGGGAAGCCCTGGCATGATCCCAGACCTCGCGGGCTTCGGGCTGGGACACTGAATTGCTGACCTGGTGTGCGGGACCGAAGTAGGATGGGGTTGCAGGAAGCTTCCCCCTTCCTCTGTCCTGGGATCCTTTCCTCATTCTTATTACTTCCCCAC